GATCCTCTGTATCAATCCATTCATTAATGGTAGAAGATCTACATATATAGTATAAAATTTAATATGAAACTAGAGTGGCGACAAGCAGTGGGCGATAACCACCACCACCATCCTTAAAACACTTACCCAGCGATATCTTTTTCTTCTTGGTATTTTCAGTGGTGAAAGACATTTTGTTTATTTTTTTTAAAAAAATTTGTTGATCGACGCGTACACGCTGATTATTTATCCTATTGGTTTTTTTTTTGGTAGGACAGACGCGAATTGATTGATTTTTTTTCAAAACGGTGTCCAAACAACAACACTCACGTTTTGTCACCTTGGTTTGGTTTGGGTCTCCTAAAGAAGACGTGTTAATAACTAACCAGAGGTACTATTTTTTACTTGAATTGATATATATATTTGTTGTCTTTATTGGTTATAATAAATATTTTAATGGAAATCAAAACGCGGAGCAGATCTTGCTGGGTAATTACAAGATTTTCATTGATAATATTTTGTTTTTCGTGACCATTAATAATATTATCATAAATATTATATATATTACTATACAAGAAATCAAGGCAGCACACCATTGAAAAAAGAGACATTTCGAATATGCAATGTTTGATTACAGGAAATTTACAGGTGTTGAAGCACGCACGCACGCTGCCTTGAACACATTACAGTCATTCACCTGTTCCTCGTGTACATAAGGCTAATCTGACTAGTGTCACCCGATGATACAATGATGCTACCGAACTCCAGGGGGGTGTGGACATGTCCTGGAGTTTACCAAGACTGCACCAATCGTCAATGACACTTTCACTAATCTTCCCAGACCAGAGATGGCTGCTGGCACGCTGGCCGAAATGTTGCCTGCAACGATTCCGCCTCTAGGCAAGGATGGCACTGTGACCAAGTCGCAACTCTGCAGATGAATATTAAAAGAATCTGCAGCTTGTTTCAAGCACAGGAGGTCGCAATCCAGAGCAGGGTTGGTGGCCATTGAAATTTCATTTGGACTCTGATGCTAAGAGGGAAGTTGTAAAATAGTGTTTGTTTTGTATAATCATTTTCGTAAATTCTCTGTTTAACCAATTTAATGATT